ACTCAAATCTTATTTAAATTTATTCTGAGTTGAGGCCAGTTATAGACATTTAAAGTTAAACTAATGTAGACTTTGGTTCTTAAACTGATCAAAAATGAAAGAGAGCCAAGAAATAGGACATTTAATTAAGTCAATTTGTTTTTAAAATACCCTTAAAGCAATAGTCAGCCATTAGGTTAACATTTCCGATAAATTGTCTTTCAGCATATTTTGGTTTTAAAGGATTTTTAAATTGCGACATTAAGGCCTTACAACTTTGTGATATTTTAAATTGAATAATCACATTTTTTATTTCATTCAATAATATTATGTAGTAACTATAAATAAGTAAATATACTTATATAACAAAGCCATCAATAATTGTATTTTCCTAATAGTTTAGTCATGTCTTCTTCTTCCTGTCAATTTCCTAGCTTTAGCCAGGGTCTTCCTTATATGTAGTAAATAGTTTTGGCTAATTGTTTTTACGAACGGCCGCCTGCCTGACATCAACCCTCTTTGGGTTTAATTATTAAATTATAAGTCCAGGTGTCCTCACTATGTTTTCCTTCACCGTCTTTTAGTGGTGTCTAAATACTCTCAGAAAGTAGATATGAATCGTAAAAATCACATTGGTACTTGCCAGGATCGATCCCGCGCCTTCATGCATGAGAGGCGGGCCTTTAACCACTAGGTCACCACTGACTAGTTTAGTCATGTAAGACGACAAAACCCCTAAAGTATATATGAATCGTTAATAAACACGACTGATCCTCGGATTGAGAAAGTTTATTAAATCCAGTTTTACAAAAAAGCGCTCTAGTTTTTCCTTATAACGGATAGATCCGACCGGTATTGACCAATTATGAAAGTGATTTTTTATCTATAAAAACTTTATCAATCACTTAATTTATAAAAAAAAAAATTATTTCGACCATGAAATATTTTATTAATTTCAATTTTCTCCTTGAATCAAGATAAATTGAATTATTCTGTTAAAATTATACTGATTATAGTTTTGGCTTTATCCACGATGGTTGAAAACTATAAATAAAATAAATCACAATAGAGAAATAATAAAACAGCAATAAATGATAAAGTGATAATTTTTTTCTTTTCCTTTTGTTACAATCTGGATTATAAATCTATACTAAAATTATAAAGCTGAAGAGTTTGTTTCTTTAGAATTACTAATCTCAGGAACAACTGGTTCAAATTGAAAAATTCTTTTTGTATATGACGAGTTTTAGGTATTTTGTATATGGTGAGTTATAGGAGCAAAAAAAAATGGAAAATACGGAGAAAGTACCTAATCTTTGAGGGCTCCCGTTGCGTGCGCTGCCAAAACGGTTTAATATACCAAAAAATATGTGTGAACGAATCATTCCTCTTGATATGATCTTAAAAAAAGTCTGCGACAGTATATGTTTATTTATTAAGATTATCTCACTAGAATCTTTTTTATGATAATCAAATTTGGTCGACCTTAATTATCTACTAGGTATCATGCCGCGCGGTTCCAAAGTACTTTAAAATAAATTATCTACAATATAAGAGAAATTGACGGGGACAAATTCGTGAGCAACAGCTATAATTTATAAGGCTGAGGAGGTTGTTTGCAGAAATAAATATGATGACCAAAGTAACTATTCCACTTAGACAAAGTCGTTGGCACAGCTAGTATCGATATAAAATCGTTACGTAGTGTACATATGTATATAAAAGGATTAATTTTGGTTTCAACGTATCTTAACTTTGCATTTATTTCATAAATTTATTTTATAAATGCAAAGTCATAAATAAACACTGTCATGACAATGCATACAATTTGTTATATTAATTGGGAGCTATTTGCGTCATTTTTATTGATTTATCTCCTGGATTTTCAGTCACACAATGGGTTCTGACGCACATTTGACAAAAGAATCAAAAATATGAATACTTTGTTGTAAACAAAAAAACCATATTGCAATTGGGAAAATATCTTTAATCAAGTTATTCATTTAATGAAATATAAAATTAAATTAGTTTTAATGGTTTTGTATGTTAATTAATACCGACTTTAAACTTATTTGCCGTTGGCATATTATTTTTAAATGATCATTTTTTTTTGTCCTTTACTGTTAATAAATATACATGTTTGATGCTGATTTTATATACGAAATTATTTCTGACAACGAGAAACCTTTTGGGAATCTTTAGTTGCAGTCTAATTCAATACGTCTATATGTCAGACTTGAAATGTGTTAGACAGAATCGTAAGTATCTTTTGATATACATACAGAGCTATAAGAATATTTTTATCTCTAGAAATATTTCTAAATAAGAGTAAAATGTCAGTTCTTTATCATTTATCATAATATCATAATTCCAAGAATACATGGAGAGCGAATATATTATAATAGTTTAGTGATAAACTAAGTTCATTGTAGTAAGTTATACTTTCAATTAATAATTCTTATCAGATAATATTGCATTACCGATATTTCGTCAATAGTGTGATCATTTAAAGAATACATACTTTATGAACATCTTACCGAAAACGCATGTTTTGTTGCTAACTCTAAATTTGTCAGTTAAAGATTCTAAGCAAAGAAGTTTATATCAATAAAGGCTATATTTTTTAAATTTACGATATTATTTTGCATACGTTGTAAATTGATTGTTCAAGCTAAAAATATGTATTACAGTCAATATGTTATAATGGATAATACAAATTAGTATTTTATTCTTACGATTTGTGAATCACGGTTAAGATACTTTGAACATTAAATAAAGACCTTAATATTTATATATGAAAGTAAAAAGCCATTATGTACTTCCATGAAACGTGACCCAAATGTAGACGTATAGCAATATGATATGAATATTAATTTATAAGGCATTTTAAGGTATGACATTTTGACGAGATTTTTATTATTCAGAAATTTTTATTCAAACCACTAAAATACTTCTTTTTTGGTCAGACATATATTTTGGAAGCAGACCCATCAAAACACGTATTTTATTAAAACTACATATTTTTTGTGAAAAGTTTTTCCGTTACAAGAGTTCGTATTCATGAAAATAGAATTATAATAAAGAAAATTGAAACATTATTTGTTTAAAGAGATATATTTTTTTTATCTTTCTATTTTTATGTACTTTAGTTGAAAATATGTTGTATGTTGCCAGGGAAATCTACATGCTTTCTAATACACTGAATTTATAATATGTCTAATATCTTTACTCGTAGTCCAGGAAAGCGGTATAAAACAATAGTATGGGAAAATAAAACAAAATGTAAATTAAAATGCTATTTTATCTTGCAGCATCGCTTCTAAAATAAAAAATCAAGAATTTTTGTTATCTAAGCAGGCAAAAAATACACGAATATTTTGAACAAAAAATAATATAACATACATACTTATTTACTGTATTTACTTATTGCAGATATAGCATCAGTAATACAGAATGTCACTTGAAAAAATATGAATCGTAATTATTCACAGTGAAATCAAAATTGTCTGAAAGATTTCCTAATGTCACTACTGATATCTACTTAATTCATTAGGAAATAATTTGTACTTCAAATCAATAACACAGTTTTATAAATATTTTTAGACGCTTAAACTCGCGGAAAGCTCATTTTTAAAAAGACTTATTACTTTTAATTTACTAATTAAGTTTTTATTTAAACCTGTACACGTTTTTGATGTAATGATGGGTATTCATTGTTTTCACATTATTCTTAGAGTTAGTCATCCCTTTCATTCAACAACCACACCTGTATTATAGAAGTGCATTTAAAATAACTAATTTGCGAAATTTGATATTTATTCAGTTTGACGTAAGAATTACGTCACAATAAACATACTCCCAACCTTATTTATATATATAATTTCAACTTAATCTCTTGATTATACGTTCCTAAATTCACATTGAGTTGCAACGATATACTGAAATGCTACATTGCAAGTTAAACCCATGCTTATAAATTAAACTGTTCTAAAAGACATAAAAGGAACTGTAATACTCTCTAGCAGGTAAGAAAAATTTATGGTCATCTTATAAAATGTAACAAAACTTCAATAATTTATAGCTATGTTTAAAAGATTAAAGAGGTAATAAATATTTTCAACTCTTCTACTCCTAACATTTATTGAATTTCACTTCGGATGTAAAAAATGAAACTAAACTTCACATATATAAAATTAAGTAATGATCGTGTATCATTAGTAAAACTGTGTTATAACAGAAGAATTATAATATTTAAATAAAATTTTGTTTTCAGACGCTTAAAGATTGTCAGTAAGTATTGTTTTTCCTATCATCAATTTATATTTTCACTGGCATTCTGCTCTTGATCAACTTGGCATCGCTAATTAGCCCATTACGTCTTGTAGCCTTGTCACGGACATGAAATCTCATATTCCTGATGATGGTATTCGAGGAGGTGTATAATTGCAAACCATCTTTTCTTTGTTGTACTATGTTACTTTCAAATATGGTACAGTAAACCTGAAAAACATTGTTTTACTTAAAATTGTACTCGTGAAAGTCTTGGGTAACATATTATGGACATTGTAACTATACAATATGAAAATCCTTAGGAATAACCTTAAGTTTCGGTTACTGTTAAGCAACTGTAATGAAGCCAGATGAGGTGAAACGTGGGGTATTATATTAAATAACATAATAAATATTACAAAATAATAAAAAAATAAAATTAAAATATATCTCATTTTTTATTAGGATATTTCGTTATTAAAGGCTATTTGAATTTGTCATTTTACCTTACAAAAGGGATTTAGGGAAACCTTAACCCCTTGCTGCATGAATTATGAAAGAGATGAAATAAATTTTTTTTTTTGGCAAAAATGTGTTTATTGTAGCTTAATTAGTGAGATCAAATCAACAAAAAAAAATATTAGCTTATAATTCAAAAGTTAGTAATCAACGCCATATGTGGCTTCGTATGCATTCTAGCCATATACGCTTCGGTCAAATATGGCTTCATATGCATTTACGTGTAAAGTATTTTATTCCTCGTGAAATTCTTTGTAACAGTTGCGTTTGTCATTATAGCACAAATAAACATTACATTTTTCACATAAAGTAAAAGAACGAAATTTAGAACAATTTTGGCATATTTGTCGGGCATTCTTCTTCCAAATCGGAAAATGGCTAATCCCATCGGTACGCACGGACGCCAAAGGCAAGTCTTGATGCCTAGCTGGCGTTTTTCGTGTCTTTTTTGCGGGAACTGGAGATTCAGGAATACGGGAGGGAGTGCCACCCCGGCTGGATGTCGGAGTTCCAACAATGCTCGATGGACGACCACGTTTCTTGGTCATAACTGCTTTTCCTGCTTTACGCAAATGTTCGGAAACGGCCAGTTTGAAATCATAAAGTGGCATGTATGAGTCAGCATTGATTCGGCGCCATAACAACCAAGCATTGACAAGTGTCATGTCCACCATGTGAAAAAAATCCTCTTGTACCATTGACGAGACCGCAAATGGATTCTATAATAACCCAGCATAGAATCTAGTAAATCCACTCCTCCCATATGCTGGTTATAAACATCTACAGCTTGGGGTGAAGGTATGTAAACATATTCTTTATCTTAGCGAACGTAACGCCGCTTTGTTGTTGTGGGTTCACTTCCAACGTAGGCTGAAAGAAGATTCACATTCTTGTTATCGAACCAAGAAACTAAGCTCAACTTGTCAAAGGGACGTCGTCTTCCTCAGAAAAATCTGATTCTGACTCCGGTATAATGATATGTCGTTTAGGAGTTAAACTAATGGAGCCAATATTACAATTATCGTCACAATCCGAATCAACATCATCGTCACTAATGTCACCATCACCTGGAATGATGTTTACATGCTTTGCAGTGCCATAAAAGCGTGCTGGGTCCATTTCTAGAACAAAAAAGAAAGAAGCCTTAAATGCATACCAAGCCAAATATGACAGTACCACTTTTGACCATAATGCATACGAAGCCAAATATGGCAATTTTGAAAAAGTAGATAATTACGTCGAAATATGCAAAACAAAGCAAAAATCAAACATTCACCGTTTATAAGAAAGATAAAAGAATACTGTGGTATTTTTTTCAACCGTTTACTCACCTTTTTGATATGTTTTTTTTTAAATTAAAAATTACACTTTTTTCGCTGCACCTGCTCCGCCGCACGCGCTCAACATAACCTTAAAAATATTTAACAGCTGACATTTGACATGAATGAGTTAATAACATTCCGTTTCACCATGAAATTCCGGATCTGTTGTTGGTTAAATTTTAAAAATCGGACATACCAGTAGCTTGTAAAAAAAATGTAAACTTGGTCATCCATATATGGTTTCGTATGCGGTAAGGGGTTAACAATGTGCCATAAAAGTATTATTACTTTTCACTTCGACGAAACAACTGGTGAGTGAGATAGTAAACAATTTATTTTATTCAATAGTCATTAATAATGTACAGTAAACATCGGAGGAGAAGTAATTATTGTTTTATTTGTTTGCACTCTGGGTTGGTTACTAAATGGAATAATTAACTTTTAGTATTCATGAAAAGTTAATTTAGATTATTGGCAGCAAGAAGACACATCAATAATGTACTTCCCTATAAAGTTGACTATACCTTAGTTATAAATGCAACGAATAAGATAATTATTTATACGATATAACTAATAAGATGTATTTTTATTATAGTTAATTTTATTACATAAGTAATAAAATTAACTAATTTGTACTACTATTTATCTAATCCTAAAAAGGTTTTTTTTGAAACAGCTACTTTAAAATAAATTGAAAAAGGATAAAATTTTTAATTGTCTCGTTAAGTTGCATAAATTTCTGAATAATAAAGTATATATTATAATATAATAAAGTATTTATTCAAACTGTGTGAATATATATTACTTTAAGTAAATTCAATAATGCAACGACTATGTAGTGATAGATAATAATTAATTTGATAGAACTAAAACAAAAAATATTAAATCATTTTTTTTATTTCAACTTTTGTCTTTTACTTTAGGAAATAAATTTAATTATTCCCATAATAACGACATGATATGTACATAGTTAGTCGTACTGTTAGAGCCTCAGTCAGATTTTTCATTAACGAAATAAACTTTAACTTAGATGATTAATTAGCTCTGAGGTAAAGTCAGAAGTGTCACTCGCTATATGATATTTTATCGTTATATTGATATTTTAGCGTCACTCGCTACATGATATTTCGTTCATAAAAAAAGAACTTCACTCTTGTTTTATCAAACATAATTGTTTGAAATTTATTTAAAGTATGTATATTGGTAAGTGGCAAACCACAAGTAAATATATCAAGACTTTTCCATTCTTCATTCATAACTTATCGTGATATTAAAATTGTCATATAAAATTTTTAGCGGAAGTTCCACTTTTTTAAATTATCTCTTTGATGATTTATGATCTGCGCGTATTTCGTTAAGTGGCTTTTTAATAAGTAGAAATAATGAAATACCTTTAAATCTAAAGAACTAGTACAATTAATAATATCATTTTCATCTTCTAGTTTAAAACCTTAATATTTGCGTCTTCGATTAACACAGACCTCAAAATATTATTAATTATAGCATTTCCTACAAGTAATAAAACATAAATTCCTTCCTTTACGTTAAAGTGAACAAGCACGATAACTTCGGGTAAATAATTAGAAATTCCCTGAGTGTTTGGCGATAGCCAGATAAAAAAGTCTTCATTTATTCTGCACATGACTTATATGTTATATATTCTCTTTTATGTGACCAATATTACGTAAACATATCCTAGTATTTAAATTGATTTTGTGGTTATAATACTGTTTATAGCCTTGAGAGTATTTATCTAATACTTTCAGAGCGTAGGTTAAGTTGTCGGACCCAGAGAAGTGTATGTCTTTTCAGAAGTATGTGTTGTTATGCATTTATTTTCACAATTTCCTTGTATATTGACATTTATACGCTGCATTTAATCTTCTATTTTATTTTCCATACGTTACTCATGCCAAATTATTATGCATTACTCACGCCAACCTGACAACCCCCTTCGCCCTTCCCCAACTTCGGTGGGACTCCATGATTATTTTCCAACCGACACAAAAAATAGTTCTATCGTAAGATAAATAACTAGTTTTAACTTTGACTTGTATATAAAAATTAATTTCATCTTTTTATACTCATTTAAAGATTGTTTTGTATGTAGAAGATGAAAAGAAATTTCCCGTAGCCTTTTGCTCACACGATGTATATTACTTAATAAGTTTAACAGGTATCAGAGGTAAAATGAAAGAAGAGTTTTTAATTTTGACACATATCTATGAATTGAAAGAAAAATTCATAATTTAGAAAATAAGAGCAATTAATTATTAAGGTAAGGGAGACTAACGAAATTTATCATCAAAGTCACAATTAAATAGACGACAGATTTTTAGGTCACGAACCTTAGAACGACATTTGACTCTGCATACTTTATAACCTCGTAATTTGTACAAGTTGAAACAAATTAGTTTGAAAAAATATTTTTAATTCAATTTAATATGATACTCTGACAGAAGTTTATTAAAACAAAAATGAAGATTATAACATAATAGTGCGAGAATGTGTATTTTTGTTTATCTAAAGTTTTAAAATAAATCAGTTGAAGGTTTTCAAAAATAATTTCCACTTACTTAAGTGTAAATCAATTGAAGGTCCACTGATGCTATTGTAAGTGCTAGTTTATTGTTACTGTCTAATCTAATGGATATAATAATTCTAAGTGACATGACGATACAATTTCTTTATGACACATAGATTTAAAAGCAACTACCTCAGTTACTATCTTTTGAAAGCTTACATTCAAAATATATAAAATCAATATTGTTTTTACATGAACTTGCTTAATGCAAAAAAATAGATTCATAAATACTTATACATAAATTTAGTTTCATTTTGCCAATTTGATTGCCATTTTTTTTTATTATGTATCCACTTAAGAATATGGAAAATAGAACCGTTGACGTATGTAGAAATGAGTTCCAATTTCCTGCTACGGAATTACACCCTATGGGAATAAGGGATAGAATTTTCGTATTCCAGTATAATTTAATATATTTTTTATCTTTCTTAGCATTATAAAGTTATTAAAATAAGTACTTATTATAAAAAGGCAACACATTTTTAACAGAAGAATGGTAATATTAAGTCATCGTAATTTTTATACGTTTTATTTGATGGTTTTCCCAATTAAAATAAAAATATAGAATAATAATTGAATTCGATGTTTGTTCTCATTTAGTGTCTTTAAGTTGGATGGTTAACAAAAAAAATCCATTGACAAATATAATAAAACGACATAAGATGCTAAATTTTTCTCATACATTCTTAACCTAAACATTAACTACGCGACATATGAAATAATTAAATTATACGGTAATGTTTTTTATTCGTCCAAGCTTTACCACTGACTTATGAAAAATCAATGACGATACATATATGAATTATAAATGGAATAGAAAAAAAAATACTTTGTCCTTAAACTGCTATGTAAAATCTTTTATGTCATTATACTAAGATGAAAATATTCATTGGTAGTAGGATTCTGTCCTAAATAACCTAATTAAAATAAGGATATTCAAAATGTTAATATAGCAAATGAAAAAATTGCTTTGATATAGAAGTTATACTGTTTGAACTTACTAATTGAAGGTATTAAATATCACGGAATAAGTTGATTGACACAAAGATTAAAAGAATTTAAAGTTATTTAGAAATATTGATCTCTTCCTGAAATGGGTTTATAATTTGGGATTTTTAATTACTTGCTGAAAATAGCATCGTTATAATTTTAGTAGACACTATTCTTATTCACTGACTGTCCTTGACCACACTCATCGTTGCCTACAAAAATAAAATTTGACTATTTTTATTTATTAAATACTTCAATATACATAGTTGACCTGTTACCTTATTTTGTGTTTATAAATTAATCAACGCTTAAAATATATGAAAAAATAAACTATTAAATATCTACAGTTTCAGGATAGCAAATTTATCACCGTGTTTGGATATTTACTTTCATTCATACAAATCCAAAGCTCAGCTTAAGTGTCACGGATTATATATCTCATATATTTGTTTAAAACAAGTTCCTTTTGCATAATATTAATTTTTGTATTTTCATTATCGATTTAGGATCTATTTAAAAAAAATAACATGTTAGTGTATTCTGAGGAAATAGAACTGTCACTGCAACTTTTTGATTTGAAGAGTCGGAAGACAAGACTTCTAAATATTTCCTTTGACGACAAATAGCAAAAGCTATACAGACGAACTGCAATTTTACCACAAACAAGAAAATTCTGTTATATTTCGCACTTTCTAACAGAATATCTATCCAGACAAGAATGAATTATAATTTATCATCAACCAATATACTGTTTTAGATGAAAGGAAATAAGTACAAGAACAAATTATAGAAAGAAATAAGA